TCACATGTCAAATTTAGATACAGAAGCATGGCCAGGTGTGTAAGAGGCCAGGCCTCTGGTTCAAAAGTAAACAGTACACTTAGGAGAAATCATAGTTGCTCACAATTTATTTACGTAGAAATACACACACATACACATACTCAATCAAGATGAGTTAACAAATGAATGGACAAATAAAAATAAAGCAATTGTAATACAAATGCAGCAGTTTTATATACGTAGTAGGTCTGCAAGTGTTCACTAAACTTCTTTCAACTTTTCTATATGATTGGTTGAAGATGTTTATTAAAACCTGTTGGAGAAAAAGAAATCCAGGGGTACAGTTTAAGTCAGAATATACTTGAGTGTCTTCCTACTGTTTGTCTAAGTGCTAAGGCAGAGAGCTCCTTACTCTACTTTGTTTAAAGCTGACTTCAGATACAAAACAATACATTTTAAACAATCAAAAGTCATGTAGTCCAACAACTCCACTTTATAAATAAAGAACAAATGCCAATATAGCTTAGTGACTACATAACAGCATAACTAAAATTGAAATGAGGCCTACTGACTCTTTCTTTTTTTTTTTTTGAGACGGAGTTTTGCTCTTTTTACCCAGGCTGGAGTGCAATGGCACGATCTCGGCTCACCGCAACCTCTGCCTCCTGGATTCAGGCAATTCTCCTGCCTCAGCCTCCCGGGTAGCTGGGATTACAGGCACGCCCCACCATGCCCAGCTAATTTTTTGTATTTTTAGTAGAGATGGGGTTTCACTATGTTGATCAGGATGGTCTCGATCTCTTGACCTCGTGATCCACCCGTCTCGGCCTCCCAAAGTGCTGGGATTACAGGCGTGAGCCACCGCACCCGGGCCTGACTCTTTCATTCGTCTAATGGCTGTGAAACCAACGATGTGTCAAAATCAGCCACACAGCACAGTGCAAACATGAAAGCAGAGTACAATCTGTACCCAAATAACACCCACCAGAAAGGAAAGGCATGCCACGGGGGGAAAGGCTGACAGGAGTAGATAATAACATCAAAAGTGTTTTTCTGCGCTATGCGTGATTTAACACATATTTTCCCATCTACTTTTCTGTATTTTCCAAATGCTCTTAAACATAAGACTCTCCAGCTATGTGGGGTCACTGACACTTGTAAAGTGACCAGTCTGAACTGAGATGTGCTTTAAATGTAAAAAAACACATGAAATTCCAAAGACTTAGTGCAAAAATATAAATGCAAAATATCTCATCAGTATTTTTATATTAAATATATGTTGAAGTTATACTTTGAATGTATTGGGTTAAATACATTATTAAAGAAAATTGTAGCCATTTCTTTTTACTGTTTTAATGTGGCTCCTAGAAAACTTGAAGGGATGTATGTGGCTCACATATTGCACAGCACCACTTGATAAATAACAAGTAATATGTTTCTAATGGAATTAAATCTACATTAATTAAAGACAGAGTCACATAATGCATTTTGTAAATTACAAACATATCTTTACAAGTTACTGTTACTATTAACGAGTGAGAAAGGATGAGAAATTCATTTAGCACATCATTTTAAACAGCTGTTCTGCCTATCTACTCAACACAAAGCTGAAGGGCAGTGAGGTATTGTAGAACAGCTGTATATTATTAAAATCTCTGGATAATAGAGAGGAGAATATTGGCTGAGCTATCAGTTCTAATACAGAATGTTTCCAAATGTATCTTCCTCTGAGGATCTCAAACTTCTCAAATATAGAATGAAGCAATGGACCAATGACTTCTCTAGGTCTTTGCAAAGCAAATAGTCTATTATCATTCAACTTGTTGAATGTAAAATTAAAAAAATACATGAGGAAGAATCTCCCAGTTCACAGAGGTAAAACAGAAAAAACAAGGAAAAGATGAGCCTTTGAATTCCTGCATGCTTTGATAAATGTAGCTCCAGCATCCATGAGTTGAGGAAATGATGTTCAAGAGCACTACCTGGCACCCCCAAGATGATTCCAGAAGTAAAATCCCTTGCTGCTTGCAGGTGGAATTTTTCCAATTCAAGGAGCCAACACACCATATGGTAAATTGGGTAACTACCTTCATTCAAAATGAAAACAGAACAGAAATTACGAAAGAAGACTACTACTACTTAGAGATTATCTGATAAATGTCGAAGTTATCTGAGTTTCCACGTTACAACTCTCTGCAGCTTGACAATTTTCTTCAAATTGGTTTTTGAAAATTCATGAAACAACTAAAAACTAATGCATACAGTTTTGTTTCGGAGCTTTCCGCCACTGCTCACTGTTTACACAATCTTGGATTTTATCACATAATCATTTTATGCAACAGTTCTTTTTCTTTCCTTTTCTTTTCTTTTTTTTTTTTTACTTTTTCTTTTTAATTATTATTTATTATTATTATTTTTTTGAGATAGAAAAGTGTGAAGTGCATTGGCGTAGTTAGGGCTTTCTTCAGCCTTAAACTCCTGGCTCAAGCAATCCTCTCACTTCAGTATTCCAAGTACTTGGGAATGGAAATACACACCACCTACTAGCATTTGCAGCAGATTTGAATTTTTTTTTTCTTATATGAGACAGGGATTTCTACGGTTTCCAGGCTGACCTTAAACTCATGGCCTCAAGCAATCCTCTGGCCTGGGCCTCCCAATATGCCAGGATGACATGCATGAGCTACTGTGCCTAGTCTTGAGTTCTAAGAATAAATGTGAAGAATGACCTTTTCAAGCAACCTATAAAATGTGGAAAGAATACAAATAAATATTGATCAAACTGACTATGTAAAAATTAAAAATTTACGTGTGGTACAAAAAGAAAACAAATAATACACTGCAATCATAGGGAGACATAACTGTTGAAAAAAGTATTTAAAAATTATTATCAGTAGATTGAGAGAAAAATGGGGTTTTTCACATATTTTTATCTCTTTTAAAGTAGCCCCAGTAGCATTTCTTGTCTAATAGAAAAGCCCAGGCTTTTAGAGCAGGGGAGGCAAAGTTTCATATGCAAATGCCAGCCATTAGAATCCAGATCTAACCAAACATGGCAATTCCTAGCCACTCCTCTTCGACCTTGTCCCCACGTGTGCCTGGAAACATGGATGCCCCCACATATTTTCATGTGTGTAGAACATCTGGCAATCTGCATCTGCATATTAAAACTCAAGGGTGGGAGATACAGCTTTTTCAAGAGCTAAATCACTGACATGCCTGGTAAATGAATCACCAATTCCTCCAGCCTTCTCATATAACTGGCTGGTTTCCACATCACTTTGGGTTTCTTCTATGGTCCTTAGCGTCCCTTTACACCATCATTCCACAGAAAACATTTCTTCTTCTTTCTTCTCTTTTCTTTATTGCCTAATAAACGCTCTACTTACTAAAATCACTCCACATGTGTCTGTGTCGTTTTATCCAATTAGATTGAGACAAGACATTTTGTGTTCGTGCACTCACCAGGGTCATATTGTTTTGGTGTATGGGCCAGGAATCCAAGGTACAGCCTTTGTTAGAGTGCTGAATATGGGGACAAGATTGAAAACTGTTCAATCATTCCACAGCATACTTACCCTCTATATTAAAACAAATAAAATAAACTAATATGCATCCATCAGTCTAGTACATATGGTTAACGGTGACTTTTGTACTAAAAATATCGATTTGCGGCTTGTGTTGGTGAGAACACGGAGAATGCCTCCTTAATAAGGATTATTAAACTTTGGACTAGTGGACATCTTGGCATAATTTAAAGGCCTCTGGAGCAAAATTCATTCTCCAATAGCCCATTCTGGGTGTTTGCAGAGAATCCTTAACTATCCTCTTGTAAAATCTTCTCTACCCATAGGCTCTTACTGCTTCTCTGTAAGAAATGTGCAGAAATGTTTAGTCTAGAAACAAAGTGTTTCCCTTTCCCTTATGGTGTGGTTACTTGCTACCACTTTTCTGGTGAGTCCATTGCATTTCTAAGCCAACGTCGCCACCTACTGGAAATGGAAATCCTCTATGGGACACACTTTGTTCCTCTTTTTTCAGAGCAACACCATAGCTTCATTTTACAATGTTAGAAAGTAGGCTCTAGGCATCTTCTGAGACGGAAAGTTTGTTCTTTTAGCAAGTAGGAGAAAGATGTTTCCTGTAGCAAAATTTAGTCTCAATATTGTCCCATGGACAGAAAATCAGCCATTCAGTTTTCATGTTCCTTTAAGAAATCTATTATGTATTGCAGTAAGACAGTGTTTAATTAGTTAAGGTAATTTTAAGTCCAGAAATTGATGGGAACCATTTCTCTACAGGCAACTGCTTTAGCACTGCCATAATAGCACGATATAAAGTTTCATCTAGCACGAATTCTCCCTTTAAGGCACTTTGCCCAATTGTATAGTTTCTACTCAACACAAAACTTAACTCTGCTTAATTCTTAATTAAGAAGAATTGAAAGCATAACTAATACCCAAAATTTAGTTTCTTTGGTGCCATGGCTTAAAGGGTTGTTCCTGCTGTCATGGCTGGCAGGCACCTTTAAATGGATGTTGGAATTCGAAAGCAAATAAAAGAATGTATTTCTCTCCATTCTGGCTCACAACTGGAAGGAAGAAGACCACAAGAATCCTTCTATTTGGGCTTCTCTTTCTGATTCGGAACAGATTGTCTTTAACTCCACTGCTGGAGTGGGTTTTTTTGTTTTGTTTTTTAAGCAGTCTCACTCTGTCCCCCAGGGTGTAGTGCAGTGGTATAATCTCGGCTCACTGCAACTCTGCCTACTGGGTGAAAGCATTTCTCCTGCCTTCAGCTTTTTGAGGAGCTGGAATCACAGGCATGCTTCCATATGTCTGGGAAGTTTTGATATTTTTAGTAGAGAGGAGATTTCACCATGTTGATGAGTCTTGTCCTTAGCTCCTGACGATATAGTAGACCTGTCTCACCCTCTCAGATCTGGGATTTCAGGCATGCGTGACTGCACCCAATCGAAGAGTTTTTTTATAGCACATAAACTCTATGGACCCGGAAACATATAGAAAAATATTTCTTACTTTATTTTGTACACGGGCATGGTCTTATTATTAGCACCTTTCAAGTGTTGCAAAGTAATCCAGCTCATTCAGCAATCATGTCAGGCAGCCTCCAAGAGAATAATTTTCTGCAATTAGAAAAGGAAGTTTCAGAAGAACCGTGAGTCTTCCCTTATTTTAGGCTCTGTCAAGTTCCCTTATTGCTGCAGGACCTTAGGCAGATAAAGGGAGACTCATGACAATTACTTTACAATCCTGATAGGTATATACATTTTTCACAATTTAACTCAGGTATTTGACCTCTTGTGAAGAAATGTTATTCTGTTTCAAAGCCAAACCATAACTGCAGCAAAACAGGCAGCTCTGCAAGCAAAAAACAAAGAATCAATTTGGAAAAAAGTAATATGTCTTATATAGCAGGCTAAACAGCGTAAGTGGAAATAAACGAGGCAAAGGAAAAGGGAAAACACCATTATAATAGGCAAACAGGCAATACCTCTTAACCACTCTATTTGGAGTTTCTTTCTATGGTGTTTTTCCTACTTTCATTGTTTCAAATGGCTTCTATGTCTTTTGTGATCTTCCTCCAACCTGGAAAAGTTTATTTATTCAAATCTTAAGAAAACTTGGCTTAGGTTTGAGGCAGGGAAACAAAACCCAGAAGCCTGATAAACAGGCAGAAGGGTAAAAATTTATTCCTAGGGGGGCTTTTTGCTTCCCTTTCTCTGTGCAAACATGGAGAAAGGGTCTCAAACTTCTGACCTTGTGACCAGCCCACCTTGGCCTCCCAAGGTGCTGGGATTACAGGCATGAGCCACCCTAACTGGCCAACAGCTACACTTTATATGCATGTTGTTATGCAATTAGCATTTTATATTTTATTCTTGGATTATGAAAATAATTTTCAAATGCAATAAATTTAGATTATTAAAGCATGAGGTATTTGCAATGCATTGCTTTTACTTTTTACTTATCTTTAAAATAATTTAACAGTTCCTATTTTTATTCTGCATATTATTAGAATTATTTTCACTGGCAATTTCTTATAATTTACATGCCATTGAAGCACTTTAACCCCCATAAACATGTTCCACAGCGCCAGGAGGAGGGCAGGCCCCCAGTGGTACAAGAGTTGCTTCAGACAGTCTGTCACACATACAGCTAGATTATAGCTGTCTATGAATGAAAAGCCTATCCATAGATACCATTCAGTTAAAGAAAAAGTCTTACTACTAAACTTGGCAAAAAGACAAGTGTGCATGTGATAACTGATGTAATAATTATAATGTGCTATGTGGAGAATAAAACATTATTATTCCACTAGAGGACTAGTTAATGTTTGTGTTACTTTCTTCGCCCTTGGGAAAAGTTTCCTAGTTGAAGTTACACAATTTCTTTTAAACGCAAGACACAAGTGAACTTTATCAGAGAAAATACTAAGTAGGACTATACTGTGTCAGAAGGTAAATAAAGACATCTTCTTATTCAGCCATGTATTTACTTAATTTCTTCTCTATCACTGAACTTTGCTTAGTGCTTTACTCTCAAGGATTTTGTTGTTGTTGTTCCAAAAATCCTTGCTGCAATTATTCAACTTGATAGAGCAAATGGTGGTTTTTGGGGGATGAAGTTCATATGCTGGGCAGTTGGTGACTATCTGATTCTATGGAGGCTAACCAAAGCCTAGACATAGTGTGGGTGATATAGGGGAGTTATCAGAAGATCAAAAGACATGCTGGGTTGGGAGGTGACTATCATATAAAAGGATGTTTTTAAAAATTAGATTTATTTTTCTAGCACAACCCAATGGAAGACAATATGAAAGTATTATAGTAAGATAAGATTTTAAAAGTTGAACATCCTAACATAAGGGTCAATTTTGCCATCTGGAAACAATTTATGGAAAATACATTAGAAGATGGATGCAGAACAAAGCAGTTGGTGAGAGTGGCAGCAGAAGCAGTGAGAAGCAGCTGCAGAGCATTTCTTGACAGAAAAATCACCGATAACGTTTTGTAGTCTGAGAAAAGCATGGGCTCCCTCCCGTAACACAGGAGTTGCTCCATATAGTCCGTCACATATCCAGCTAGGTTGAAGACATAAACGAAATGTTTTTCCATAGACAGAGGTCAGTTTTTAGAGAAAAGACTATCTACTAAACTTGGAGAACAGACAACTGATGTAACAATTACAATGAGCTGTGTGGAGGATAAAAAAATTACAACTCCATTATTTGAATGAATATTTTTGTTACTTTTCATCCTTGAGGAAAATTATTAGTTGAATTGGAAACATTTATACTCTTTCTTGTCTCAGAAGAAAACCTTTTTATGTTCCTGTACAAATACATTTTTCCCTTTTATATTATAACACCATCATGTACATTCCCTCACAATATTTATGTTTTGTAGAGTCATAAAGTAGAAAAATGCTACTGGTTGGTACCCAGTGAAAGATGGTGTGTGAATATTAAGTTGTTTTTGGGACTCTGGACCGACAAACAGAAAGTGTTGAAGTACTCAAAAGTTAAAGAGCACAGGTACAACATGAGAAGAGCAGAGATTGAGAGTATCAATGTTCTTGGAAAGAAAATACTCTAGGAAGTCCTGGCTATAGAAAGAGGATAAAACTTCCTGTGTGCATTTAATCTGGATCATGTTTTAGAGAATGTGGTGAGTGTGACAGTGGGAGCAGTGAGAAACAGCTCCAGAGCCTTCCTGGAAAAAAGAATGATAGATTATACACCATAGTATGATGGAAGCGGGGGTTTCTCCATATTGTCTGTCATACATGCAGTTAGGTTAAACCATGAATGGAATGCTTCTCCACAGAGTTCAGTGTTTAGAGAAAAAGCTAACTACTGAACTTGGAGAAGAGACAAATTTGCCTTAGTAAAGATTAAAGCAGTTCTACCCATGTGCTGCAGTGTTCTCCACATCTTCAAGCCTGAATTGCAGTGAAGCCCACCTTGGATGTCCCACTGAATGCTACACTTTCCTTTCAGCTCCTTCAAAGACTCAGACACACATAAATTTGGCAGTTAACTTTAGTAATATACACAGAAAGTGTGTTACTAGTTCCCACCTCATCTTCACCAGCCTGGAGGAAAGGCTATTTTCAGGGTACCACTGTGGTGCAGCTGAGTCATGTCTTCCTGCCATCACTCACGCAGGAGCTCCTGGCTGGCCTTCATCACAGCCATCTGGATTATACATAATATGGTAGGACATCATCTTAGTTTGTGCACTGCCAAGAGTGAAAATAGGACAAAAACAGTTGTGGTAGGAATCACTTTAAAATGGATATTAAACAACCACAACCTTGAATAAAACTATTTAAGGAATCAAATAAATTGGAAAAATGATGATAGCATTTCTCCACAAGAATACAAGAGAAAACTTAGAATAACTTCTCAAATGTAACTCAGAATGAAAAAAAAAAACTTGTTCAAGTGTTCTTCATCAGCACAAGTTGTATTACCTACTTTTCAATAACTGTTAAGTTTTTTACAGTAAGGTCTTACCGTAAGAAAAACAGGATGATTTCCAGCCCCCTCTGGCATACCATCTGACCTCACAAAGTGCTGGGGTTGCAGACATGAGTCACCATGCCCAGGCCTATACTAAACATTTCCTAAAAGATACATGACTTACTTCACCTTTTCTCCACTCACAAATCAAGTATAACAAGTTCAATATATAGTGCAAATAACGTCACTGCCATAACCGAGGTACCTGTGTTGTCATGAGTGTGTATTCATGGTCTGCTGGATTTCTCCATTGCCTTAAACAGAGGCCTTTCAAGCATCTAGAAGAACAGGTGGAAATGTTAATGTAATCCAAGCTTTGCTTTGACTACTATCCTAAGTAGTGCCTTACAACTTTGTACAAGTATGGGCATCAACACTTTACAATCTGAGGAAAGAAAATATAAGAATATAAAGCGGCATAAGCAGCACATGTCACTGGGCCTGCAACTGCTCACAGCCTTTTATTTTACAAACGCAGGTCCAGAGTCTCATGATGTAGCAGGACTTCTACTTCTAGCCACTGGCAGAAGCAGGCATGGACACTTAGCACTGCACATGTGTGTTTCTGGCTTCTTGAGTACTTCTGCGTATACTGCCTATACCTTTTTGAAACATTTCTAAATGTATAAATAAATTAATATGAATGTATGTACTATCACATTTAATTCCCAAATACAGAATATTTCACTTTTAAATATATCTACCAAATCTGAACTATAACATTTATTTTTGGGTTGTTATATTAAGATCAATCTATCTGGGCCAGTTTCTGTGGCTAACCTCCCAAAGTTTGGGAGGATGGTATCAGTAAATTTTCAGAGGTCAGGGATTTGAGACAAGCCTGGCCAACATGATAAAACCTCATCTTTGCTAAAAATACATACAATAGTTAGGCATGCTTGCTGGTGCCTGGAATACCAGTTACTTAGGAGACTGGGGCAGCAGAGTCACCTAAACCCAAGAGGTAAAAGTTACCATGAGCCGAGATCATGCCATTGCACTTCAGCCTGGCCAACAAAATGCAACTCTGTTGGAAGGAAGGAAGAAAGAGATAGAGAGAGAGAGAGAGAGAGAGAAGAAAAGAAGAAAAAACAAAGACACCAAATAAAAAAAGCAAGTGGTACTTATTCTTCTTGACTATTTAAACATAGAAAAAACAATACATGGCAGGTTATGATGTCCATTAATAGCACTGACACTTATAAAGTAGATTAAAAAATTTTACATTAAATTATGAAGTAAGCTTCCCTTATATAGGCTGCTTCCTTACTGTCTTCCAATAAAATCCACCATGAACATCAAAAAAAGAAAATAAAGAAAAATTATTATTTTCACAATCATCTAAAAATAACTACCATGAGTTGTGTTTCTGAATACATATTCACCTGGCGATGAAGACTCTTTTGCCAAGGCAGTTACCAGAGATAGTTCTAATGGGGAAAGAGTGGTTTGAAAAGTAAACTGTGCATCCTGAGGGAGTTACTTCAATAGGCCAATTTCCCAAAAAAATAATTTTTATAATCACATATTAAAAATGACATCAGATAACTTACCTTTATGTGCAAACTATAAGCATCATAAAGAAGTACTTTATTCCAACTCCTTGCCTTATTTCATGAGGTGTTATTAATTTTATATATGACATAATTTAGGCATAATATTTTTTACAAATGAAAAACAAAAAAGCAACCAGTTCACTGATACAATATTCTTCAAATTTGTCACATGCAGTGTATTTGTGGTGGAAGACTGGAATACATAAACTGAGTTCAAAATTAGGTTTTTCAGGTTTGCGGAGTGCCCAATCACAGCTGTGAGCACTACTCTATGTCATCAAAGTTTATGTGAGGAAAGTTTCAAAGTGAGAAAATAACCTTTCAAAGTGAGAAAGCTTTCAAAGAGAGAAAATAAGCTTTCAAAGTGAGAAAGTAACTATACAGTAAATAAAGTAAAATCTACGTTGATATGATTCAGATAATTTTTGTGTGTATGAGAATTCGTTTTAAAATTAGGTGCTCAACAAAATGCTTTTCCTCTTTAACAAAAAGAAAGTAGCCTCATAAGTGGACACATTTACATTTATACTTGACTGTAAATTCTACCAATTCAGAGCCTGGCATCTGTGTTTTATGTTCTAGTTTGTGAATTCAAACTTTAGTTAGTAATCATAAAATGTTAAAAATATGCCTTGCAGTGATGAATGCTGACATGATGCACTCATTGAACCTGTCCACAGTTTTCAAGTACATATTCTCAACTATGAGGGGAAGAGCAACATAAACCATGAATTGGTTCACATGATGATGGTTTTCCTAAGTGACAGTGTGAGCAACAACAGATAAACCTTTCCATATGGCATTAAGAATGCCAACGTTTCATTCTGCAAATTCTATAGATGATTTTCTGGTGTTGGGGAGGGAGAACGTTTGCTTTTGGTTTCTTCTTTATTTTCAAAGACCTGCTTTTTTATTATATTCTATTTTTAAATTTAACATCTAAAGCTCAAAGAACAAAAACAGAAAATTAATAAATGAAATGTATATCTAGTCAACTAATAAATATATGTACATATAAATGTACATCTATAAATGTACACATATAAACCTATATAAAAAAACACTACTATAATTTAATCTAAAATCTTTCCATCTCCTTTACAAATAAGTTACAGTCCAATGAGTAGCACTGTGCAAACGAGGTGTCATTTACACCAGGTCTCAAGGTCTGGGAGGAAGCTGAGAGGGCTGGGATTCCTGCACAGTAGCACCAGGTAAGCAGTAGAGATTGTTGAAATGGCACATGTAATGGCTACCAGAGGCCTCTTTCCAGTGCATGAAGCTTAGATGGCAGTGAGTCCAGGGAGTAGTGGGAGATGATGTTCAGCCACAGCTGTGAGCACTCCTCTATGTCATCAACAGAATACAGTTCTGTCAGAGTTGACAGTATCCTATTTCTGGGCTGAAAATGCTTCAGTGAACAGAAGGTGAGACTCTCCCACCATAATATAAAGAGGGAATTCACAACTTGGAATGAAGTCTTACTCCAATGTCACTCTTTCTTTGAAAATATATTTTTTCAAAAAACACCTCAGTTATGTATTGGAGTGTGTCCTATCCAAAATTATTTTGTTCAAGTCCTATGTCACAGTACCTCAGAATGTATGTATAGCCTCATTTAGAAGGAGGGTCATTGTAGTTCAGCTTAGTTAACATGAGGTCATATTGGAGTACTGTGGGCCCCTAATCTAACCCTTGGCGTATTTAGAAATAGAAAATACTTGGAGGTGCGTACAGGGAAAAGCATGTTCTACTTCACTCATGTTGTCATGACAAAGCTAAGTGAGTCCTATAGAAATGCATGCTTTAGGGAGGGGGAGGTGGGGAGGGATAGCCTGGGGAGAAATGCCAAATGTGGGTGAAGGGGAGAAGGAAAGAAAAGCACACTGCCATGTGTGTTCCTACGCAACTGTCTTGCATGCTCTGCTTATGTACCCCCAAACCTAAAATCCAATAAAAAATTAAAAAAAAAAAAAAAAGAAAAAGAAATGCATGCTTTTGTGCCTGGCTGACAGCAGTGTTTTTCTTGCTGTTTTTGCTGTTGTTTGTTTGTTTGCAGTAATGATTAATTCTGAAGGATTAAGAGCAAATTGTGAAAATGCCTTAACAAAATGAATGATAGCAGGAGATAGAGCTAAAAGAAACTTATGCAACAAAGTATTTTGATGTGTCTTGTTTTGTCCATCACAAGGCCAGTGGAATGCACAAGAATTATATACAGGTAGCTCCATCACACTGTATTCTAAAGTGATACTGCTAGAAGTACTCAAAATAACTTTTAATGACTAGTTTTTTTAATAAGAAAATGATGTTACACAACATCTGGCAGATAAGTCTGTCAATCATATTTTCATGACAAGACTGGATAATTAAAAAGTACCACACAATGAACATTATACATTATAATTAACTAAAAACATCAATCCCTTAAAGGACATTAAAGTGATTTGGAAGGGTTGAGAGAAACAGATCAAATGTGTCAGCAACTTATTAGGAACGTAAGTTGGAAAGAACTGGGTTCTTCTCATGTCAACATTTTACCGGTTTGTTTACTCTGAATGAAAATATGTTCTCAAGCCAAGCTCAGATTTTGGAACCATTATTGACAAGAAAAGTGAGATGTCTTCATCTCTGGTGCTGCTTTGAACTTCCTGCGCATGGCCAAGGTGTCCCTGGTGAGGAAATCATTCATGGACCACTCAGCCAGGAAGGGCTGCAGAAGGTCACTGAGCGTCTTTTTTGTTGTTGTTCCAGTAGCTCCTGATAAAAATAACAATTAATGAAAAGAGCCTGGACTTTCATGGATGGCATTTCAGGGCAGCAACCCACTCCAAGCGGACTGTTTTCTGTGCTTAAGCAGCAGCGAGTCATGGTATGTGACACGGCGAACTGAATGTCATGGAAAGACCATGGGTCATGCCAGCCTTTGCTGAATTAAGAGATGAATAAACAACTTCAAGGATGTTTCCCAGGTGGCTTCTATCCATCTGTGGGACTCCAAGGCAAGTGTCATTTAATAATGGTAAATTTCAAGCCTGTAATCCCAGCACTTTGGGAGGCCGAGACGGGTGGATCCCGAGGTCAAGAGATCGAGACCATCCTGGTCAACATGGTGAAACCCCGTCTCTACTAAAGATACAAAAAATTAGCTGGGCATGGTGGCGCGTGCCTGTAATCCCAGCTACTCAGGAGGCTGAGGCAGGAGAATTGCCTGAACCCAGAAGGCGGAGGTCGCAGTGAGCCGAGATCGCGCCATTGCACTCCAGCCTGGGTAACAAGCGCGACACTCCGTCTCAAAAAAAAAAAAAAATAATAATAATAATGGTAAATTTTATTTACCCTTACTGTTCATGTCTTCCAGTTTTAAAATCATTTTACAGAATAAAACTACAATAGCATAAAAATTGTTATAAAATGTAAAGCTTCAAATGCACTTTGGATTCTGTCTTCCCAGCTAAGCAAAGCACCATTTCATAAACTGAGTTATCATGGTGGTGAACAAAGTAAAAAGTGGAAGCTCCCATAAGTGACCTTTAGTATATGGTTTCTAATTAAGTGGAAAACAGTACATATTTTTAGTAGTCAATATTGAAATTCAAAAATGACTAAAAGATGTGTAGAATTCTTTTGTTTTGCTTTCTAATTGAAAGCTGACATTGTAAGAAGATGCCACTTAGCTTGGCACAGTTTCCCATATACTAATGGAAATATGTGGCTTCTGGAATAAACAAATTATGTAACTGTAATTTTTCTGTAGAATCCAACGTAGTTTCACAAGTAAACTAGAAAACCTCTAACATGAAATTATAGAGACAACATTCTCATATGAAAGTATGGCACGTTACTCTCAAGGGACCCTGGGGATCTTGGACTGGACCATATAGCATCAGAACTAACACCTGAAAGAAATGTGATCAAAGGTGCACTTATGAGAATTACACAACCTAATGCATGTAAAGTACCAACCACCACGTGTAACCCACAGTACATACTCAATTAATGTTATCTAGAATAACAGAAAGGCCATATGCACACTGGGATGTAGTGACTAGAAACTTCTCAAAATGAAGTAAAAATTGAGTAAACCTAAAGTCGCTCTTCTGGATCATACACCTGAAATTCATCAAGCCTCACTGGACCTTCTGTTGATTCACATATGCACAATGAAATAAGAATAAGTCTAGTACATACTTTCTAATTAAGGACACATTTTATAAAGAAAAACAAGCCAGAGATGACACTTTTCAGAATTGGAAGGCTATGACTGTGAAAAGAAAGGCACATATAAGACTCAAGCACGATAAACTAAGATTTAAAATACTCTGTAAGAAGGGGAACTATTATCTTGCCTGCATTCTTGCTACCATCTAAGGTTGTCCTCATGCTTCAGTGGCATAGTTAGGTATCTGGAACATAGATAAGGTGTCTCACAAAGACAACAATATTTACTATCTGCTTCATTACTGAAGCTTGTCCCTGTTTTAGGAAATGGATGGGAAACAGACTGAGATAGAAAAGGCAGATAAAAAGACAACCAAAAATGATGTGACAACTCTGAAAAATGGAATAAACTCACAACAATTCTCCAGAGAACATATGGGAGGAAGGGTAGGGTAGAGTGTTGAAACCAGAATAAATAATGATACCATAAATTCTTGCTGGACTAGATTTCAGAGCTGATGTTTACCAAGAGAAAGGTTTGTTACTTTCTCCAGCACAAACATTTAAGCAGCAGAAGACAGAAAAGAAAGAAAGAAAGAAAGAGACAGAGAGACAAAGATAAAGAAAGTGAGAGAGAGAAAAAAAGAAAGAAAGAGATAAAGAAAGAAAAACAAAGAGAGAAGGAGAAAGAGAGAAAGAAAGTGAGACAGAGAGAGAGAGAAAGAAAAAGAAAAAAGAAAGAAAAGAAATAGAGAAAGAAAAAGACAGACAAAGAGAGAAATAAATAGAGTGAAATAGAGATAGAGAGAGAAAGACAGAGAAGCAAAGAAAAAGAAAGTGAGCAAGAGTGAAAGAAAGAAAAATAGAAAGAAGAAGAAAGAGAGAGAGAAGGAGATGAAAAAAGAGAAAGAGAAATCCTGATAAATCAAGCTGTAGGCACAAATAAAAACAATCTACACTATCCTGTGGTACAGTCAGACAAAGAAATAATCCCCATCATTTTTTTGTATGTCTAAGACATACCTACAGCTATCAAATATAAAACAAGCTCCCCTTTAAAATGCATTTCTTTTTTTTTTTTTGTATAGCCGATGGGCTATCAGCAAACAGCATCTCTTGTTTTCTGGACATGTACATATGTTACAAAGAACATTTTATGTTACTGAACGTGCTTCAAACTTTGGGCCAAGCTTTTATAAATGATCCCTTTGTCCTCTGATCTCAAACCAAGG